CCCGACCCAAACCTCTCCTGTTTGTCAACCCGACCCAAACCTCTCCTGTTTGTCGACCCGAATCAACCTTCCTTCGATCCTCTTTATTATTTTGGTTATTATTGGGTAATTGATATTTGCCTCCCTCAGCAATGTTGAAATTTGCCCCGAGAATTCGTTTGATTATAACAGAACGAAATGGAGTGTCCTGTTTGGTTTAAAAAATCTAAAATGGAAAGCACTTGGGTTACAGATTTCTTTCTTCTTAAGTCAATTTGCATTTATATCTTTATCTTAGACGCAGCCGGATCATGCTACATCCGGGTTTCCCAAAAATGCTTTAGAGCAGTCATCCGACGATGACACGTGACAACCCACTCACTGAACATATGTGTAATGAGATAATATGTTGGCAGTGTAACTTAAAACCATAAGTTCGCTTCGAGAAGTGTAAATATTCTCCCACTGATAAGCATCAATATTTTGTGGCTAGAGTTGTTAGTTGTAATCCGTTTAAGGATTTGAATTACGCTTTTACACGTTTGCATCTTTTTGTAACCCGCCTGTTGAAGATATGTACAGCGTTCCATTATTTAAATGATGTAATTTTTGAAACCTTGTTTATACACTGAAGATGTTGAAATAATTGTTTTAAAAAGACCATTTTGAATGCACTATATTTTTTATCATGATGCGCAAGGCTGAGAAGGAAATAAAGAAAATTTGTTGAGAAATTTCAGAGGTGAAGTGAATAGTCCCTTTTTTATCTTCATTAGCCTAAATTTTTCATATAACCGTTTTTATTTCACTATTAATTTTATTTACATTTGATTGGTCAAAGGATCGCGTAAAGTGTTAGACCAATCGCAATACGAGGTGAAGCAAAACCTGTTAAAACTGTTTAACACTGACTACAAAATTGCTTTGCATGCATGTTAACAATCAAATGATAACAGATCTGGGAAGAAATTAGTGTCTTGAATCAGAGACGTTAATGAAGATATATTTAATATATCTAGTCGTAAAAAATTCTTGGAACTCTCATAATTGCGTAGTCATTACACCACAATTCTGTGAGCTCAGTTTCATTTAATATGTCTCTTCTTTCATGCCATGAATGAGATTCAGCAGAGAATTTCTTGTACAAATCAGAATCTATCTTGCCTCATTTTGGACCTGATTAATGAAGAAAGCAAAAATTAATATTTTTGATAATTCAAATGAAGTTAAATTCTATAACAAGGAATTTTAATTTAAAGTAAGTGATTTTTATCTTATTCTATATTCTTTTTTATTTTTGTTTGTCTGTCTTCTTGTTGTTCTTTTTAGTGTTTTTCGGTTTGCGTGTGTTTGTTTATTTTTTCTACTCAATTTTATGAGGATTTCTGTCAGTTGTTTTTGAAAGGTTAAAAACTGTCAAAAATACCTGAAGATTCGTTATTGCGCGCCTCCGTCTGTGACCAATTCCAAACCGAGAATGAAGGTAGTGAGTGCGGTATGGACCGCCGGGCCCTGGTTATAAGGTAATGATCTGATTAGTAATTCTTGCTGCTAGCCTCTCTGAATTTTCTCGTAAGTTTGTTGGGAAAATTTTCTGTTACATCAAGATAATTGTGTCAAGTGGGCGAGTCTGTCTATCCTCATCACCTGTTTGCCAGATGATATATTGCCGAAATTTTCAAGAGAAGCCATTTGAGATCAGTATGGAAGGCTCATGTTTGATGCGTTGGTCTACTGCGCATCTTGGTTCGAGCCCAGGCCGTTTCATTGTGTTGTGTTCCCTGGGAAAGTCGCCTTAATCTCAACATGCCTCACTCAGCCCAGGACACCCGCAAAAAGCTGGAAAGCAGCCTTAGGTCTAGCAAGGAGTAGCAAAGCTAAAATGGCGTCATCACGGCCATGATGATAACAGATAATAACAATGATCAATAATAAGCTCCCACCTATGCGAATTTAACATATTATACAAACTTGATCCTCGATCTCATTTTGTTAATATCATTCTAAACGCGTCTTTGATCTAGCACAACCTGGATCGAGGGGTAGCCTCAATAAGTCGGAAGTGTCTACACTGGTCAGTTCTGGCCATTCTACTCATACAAATTCATTGGTTAACAACAGTATCAGCAAACAAACTCTACTGTATATGGATAAAGATATTGTCGCGAGATTATGAGTTCATCCACTCTTGACCGTTATAGAGAAATTTAGAAGACATTTAAACCATTTCGATTTCACAAATCTGTTAACATTATAATGAGTTGACTTGTATAGGTAAACTACAGTGTGGAAGAGTTGCTGAGTTTAATTTAATGTAATTGTTTCAATATTTCATCCAGAGTTCGACATGCTTACCTCCCATGACCGATGGGAAATCAGGATGATCGTGCATATACACTCCTTTACTGTGGTCAACAACCTTTGCGATACTACCTGTAAGAGACAACTAGGTTTATAAACTGTCTAAATTCTTAAAATGGCTCGACCCCAATGGAAGCCATTCGATGACTTTCTTGTCATGGAAAGTAAAGCTGTCAAAAGCACCAGTTTTTCAGGCCGAAAATCATATAAAATAGGTGTATTGCAAATTTCCTTTATTTTCAGTAAATGATTTTTACGAGTCATATAAAAGCAGTTTATGTAGCAGTGATAGATTATACTTCATTATTAGAAACAGATGATATATTGCCGAAAATTGGATAACGCAATTCATGAGTTTTCATTGGCCATTAGCCATTACACCATGCATGCTCAACAAATATAGTGAGTGTACATGTCAAAATATAAAGTTTACAAAATAAAGTTGGGAATATTTATCCATAATTTGGGGCTTTTTAAATAACACATTCCACTTGCGCTTGCTGGATATTGATAAGATGATTATGGCAAACTCGGCTCCACGGGCCTCTTTGAGTGTCTATCATCTCATATCCAACGCGCGCTCGTTGAATAATTGTCAATTATACTTCATTTCCTAGCATAAAGGTTTGACAGTCAAGCTGAATACATACAATGCAAGTGATTTTACAAGCTATTGCATATTGCATATTGCATATTGCGACCTCTAAGTTCATCTTCTTTGTTCTTAGTCACGAGATCTAGTCGCCAATCTTGATTAATTGACCGTATTGGTGATTCGCAAGAAAGAGCGAAGGTGAATTACTGATTTCTAGATATAGGTAGTTTACTATTTGTACACCCGATCGCAGTAAATAACGAAATTTGCCATCGGCGTGTAGCAGGCTACGGTAGGCTATTTACGACGATAGCTGTGATAGGTGCCATGAATCACCTTGTGTGTCAATCCACCATAGTGAAATGTTCTGTATAGCCCTTAAAAACCGGTGAATGAATAAATCTCAGGTTTAAATTTCAAGGAAACCTCTATTTTAGATGGCGAATTTGCGGTATAACATCATACAACCTCGTTTCTTTTCCTCGGGTCACATCATTATCTTAAAAAATAGCCAAGTCCAGATCACGTTTCCTACAAAAACAGGTGTTCGCACCCACCTGCGTGACTTGCGATAACTAACAGCGACAAGATGACAATCAGATGAAGAAAAAATTTGGTCAGCATCTGAAAATTTAAGAGGAAAAAAAGTTTAAAACTACGCAACGGAATGATAAGAAATAATGTTCACTTAAAGGTCAGCAGTTGTCTGATGTTAATGTAGGTGCTCGTTGTCATCGGTTCAGATTTGGTTGACACAAAGAACATAGGCGAATTTCCAGTGATAAAGCCTATGAAAATATAAATTCTCGAGCTGGAGGCTTGAATAAGAGTGGCATTCGAAAATGTATTCCCTTCCTCGTCTACAGAAAAAAAATGTTTTAATAGAATAACATAATACTTCTTAGGAAACTAGTCGACTGAAAAAGCTAACTTGAGAAATAGCAACCCATACGAAAACATTTGACTGAGGAAACAGTCCAACCTTGAAATGAGTTTGCTCTTCTCAGTCGAGCCCGTTAAACCCCATAAACAGGACGTATCTTAATCGGTGATCTCAATATGGTATTTTTTGCAAGCAGTTAACACCCTTTGGCAGTAAGTGAAGCACATTATAATCCCAATGCTACTTAGCGGATTGCAATGGATGAAGGGAGAATTAAGTGACGCTCCGTTTAAATCAACGTCCGGGATCTGGTCAGTCCTGAATGTATTTCCGCTTTGTAAATATTTGTTTTTACATCTAAGTGGAGGGATGTGTCAGTCAGCAGCTACAGAGAATCTTCTATCTGATATCCAAAATTATATATATTGGAAGAAATAAATTAAATAGAGTGGTACTTACATTTGATATACAAAAAAGTTCACTGATACGACCACAAAAGAGAGACAATTTCTTCTTTCGAACTTTCCAAGGTTAGGCCTTTAGTATTTTCAAGTGTGACCTGAGAGGAAACTCCTAATTTTAAGCTTTAAAGGAAAAAATTGCGAGTTTTTCTCGTTTTGCGCAATTAAATTATTTATATCTCAACACGTGGTCCTTTTAAATCAATATTTTTGGCACGCTTATTTAATGGCCATCAAAAAAGTGCTAACTGTCCAGCCTCATTCAAATTTTTGAACTTAAAAAAGAATTGACATAAAACAGTTTTATCCGTCGAGAGGACTTACGTTCGACTATGTAACCTCAATGCAAATCACCATATTTTCGTAAACATGTCTATAATTTTATTAGGTGGTCGGCATGTAGTGTATTCACCAAGATGGACGTAAAACATTTGAAACCCCGTAATCACCTGTGGCGGAAAATCAGTTGACTCGCCATGATCACAATATCTATATCTAATTTTGGCACAGTTCTCTTCTTCGCCATCATCTCATCAATGCGCATTGGAGGACATGACCTGGCTAGAAACGATTTTTCAATGGGCTAAGTCTAAGTTTATTACCATAAGACCCATAAGACACCATGGGCATCTTCACTGAAAAAAAAAAAACAAAAAAAACAAAAAAAACAAAAAAGCGAAAAAAAAAAAAAAAAAAAGCAGAAACAAAAACATTAAAAACATCACTGTATTTGGGCCACACGTGATGGCGAGAGCAGGGTCGTAAATACTCGCACGGCGCAACGTACAGCCTCGCAAGATACTGAGGCCAGAAGAGGAGAGGAAGAATAAAGAGAGGGGGTATATAAACTGCTTATTGACTAGGCGGTCAGGCCGGACGGAAAATATTTCACCCTCGGCCATAAAATACAGACGTCGCTGCATTCGTCCGATACTTGGTAATCTCAGCTCAAATCTTGAAGAATCTCAAACGAATCTGTTTATTTACAAAATAAAAAACTCAGAAACAGCATCAGTCTATCTTCATGTTTAGGAAATCCTGGAGCGGAAGCTTTTACTCCATATAAACATTGTATCCCTTGTGTGCTGCTTTATCTGAAGTTCCTTACACAAACGTTTGGAAAAATAATCTCACAATCTGACTGTATTTCCCATCCACTATTTCTTGTTAATAAAATTTCTCAGGTGATTACGGCGTACTATGAGAGAAAAACTGTCGAGGATTACTGCACCTTGGGGTTGCCTGCAACGAAATTTTTATCTCTCTCTAAACAAATCGCGGTCGGATACGTTCATTAGCTTTCACCTCTCGCGAGCTAACTCTAATATTCACTACTTTTCTAACTGGCTGCAAGATTGATTTAGTTTTGGTTAATAGATACTTTACTCTTCCAAAATAACTCTCCACAATGTATCATTTCATTGAAAGGGAATTTTATAATGATAATTTTGTTGATGTCACTGAGGCAGAATAGACGAAAAATAAATATGCATTCAGTAGAAATTTCATAAACATTGCGCGGGTGCGATCATCATGTAATCTAGCTGGACCTCATGTTGAGACTGTCAACAAATAGCACACGTTTCCCGCGATCCAGTCCATATGCACACATATCTATCGAGAGCTGTATATACATTCAGGTTCATTCTATAAATAACACTGGTGACTAATTGTGAACGACTCTGAAGACACGTTGGTTGGATACCGCTGAGCAGTGACAATCACTGGCAAACATTTCAGATGATCATCTTTGTGTTACCATGGCGATGATGAAAAGTCACATTAGTGGACCATATGGTGGATGACGCTTACGTTGTCTCTCTACTTCATCACACGGATTCGTACTCCTTTTGCCAGTCTTGGTATTTGCCTTTTAGCTGCCTGGCGGATGGTTTTGTGTGTTTCAACGCAGCATCTACGTCATCAGTGTTCACGGGCTCAATTTCCAGTCTTGGCAGCGGTGTTGCACGGCCGTCTGATCCCTCTGTGTGAACAATAACGGAAACTTTTGGAGAAACTGACTAACAATGATGTTACTTTTAAAATAGGGTGGCTTTGCACCTACAACTACTATGTTCACACTCAATTTCTCCCATTTCTTTCCATTAACCAATATGAAATAGGAATCTCCAGCTTACTTTGTGTACTTAAGGAAAACTGAAGGAACAGGGCGGGGCAGGGGGGGAGTGGGGGGAGAAGGAAGGACTTAAAAGCAAACTTAGGGTGACAAAAATTAAAAATTAATTTATTACCTGGAGTAACAAAGAAGAAAACCAAATTTATAGATCACAAGCGCACACACTAAATTGGACTGGGATCCAAATGAGGGAAGTACTGTGCAACAGGATACGGGGTAACGAAAAATAAAACCCTGCTTCTGTTTTCACAAAAATTAAAGAGATGAGATATCTAATGACCCGCCTCTAATCGCCTTCCAACTCTTCCCTATTGTAGTAAGTAGAATCTCCACGCAGAGAGATGCAACTGCTATTTAAATTTATGACGTGCCTACCAGCTTGGTGACTCTCTAACAGGTCGAATATCTTCCTGACTTTCCTCATGGCTGCTTCTTTACAAAGAAGGCGAATGTCAGAGCCCGAGTAACCCTCTGTGCGCTGAAAAGAACAAGCAGACCAACAGAGTTAATTAACGGATTATGTGGTCAGCTGCTTACTTTAGTGTAGACACCTACGTTGATAACGTAAATGGTCCACCGAACGGGGAAATCTTCTACAAATCATAGATGTTTCGAGAATATGTCCCAATCCTGTTCTCGCCTCCCCCTCTCCCCTCTCCCTTCACCAAGGGACACAAGGGCGATATACCCCTCATGGGAAGGAGATGACGGATTGAAGAGAAACTGTAAACACTTAAGGTTATCATGAGGATATTCTCGTGTGATGGTTGCATTGTTACCTTTGCCAGTTCTCCATAGTCGATCTCTGTTTTTATCTCCACACTTCCTTCCCCTGAGTGAATTGACGGAGGTAGGTATTGTTTCAACATGGCTTCCCTAGCCTCTAAACTAGGAAGGTCGACGAGAATTCGCTTTTCTAAACGACGTAGCATTGCATGATCAAGCTCCCTATGGAATGAATCAGAATGCAATGTTAGAGATAAACACACTTTTATGGCATTCGGTCGTTAACTCGCCTGAGTATCATCGCCTCATAGGCGAGCTGACACAAGGTGAATTTAATCTGGCGCCATAGTTTTAGTGAATGCAGATAAACTAAGCAAATATCCGCTTCAAACTGACGACTTTTGATCACGTCAGCCTTCGTCTCTGAAAAAAATTCCTCAGCCGACGATTGTCAGATACCCATGTGTTTTTAAAAATAATTTACTGTCACTGATACCATGGTAAGTTTGAAGCAGCCAGGAGGAACACTAGATCATCTGATCTTGCCAGACCATCCATCTGTACGAGCAGTTCTGTCTTCATTCGCTTGCTACCTTCGTGCTCGCTTCTACAAAACGAAATACAGCCATTGTGATTCGATTACTAACTACATGTACATGTATCCTCCCTTCAGTTATTTTGGTCTTCACTTACCCTCCTCCACCTGCTCCCCGTTGACTCATCAGAGATTCCAGCTCATCAAGAAAGATAGTGGACGGTGCATGGAAGCGCGCAAGCTCAAATAAAACCTTAAATAGAAACATATTAAATTAATAACTGTAACAAAAATATGTGTGCCTCAATGTGATGTTCTACAACAGGCGGATATTGTAACAGAGGACTTTTGGATTGAAAGTTGTAATGCCAAAACCAAAGTTAGCAAGACGGCCAATCAGAACAAAAAGGAGATATCACAAAACGCCAATGAAAATACCAAGTAAAAACAAGCAAACTGCATGAAACGCGAGAAAACGCGAGTGACTAAGTCGCGATTGAAAGTAGTTTTGCATCTGATTGATTGAGAGAGTACCGCGAAATTCCCTGATAATAATAATGGCGCTTGATCTTTGGAATCAATGATCATCTCAATTACCGGAATAGAATGTAGAAGGATTGGGTTAAAAGTTCTCTTTTTTTTGTTTTTGTTTTTGTTTTTTTGAAATAACGATTATCGCAAAAGGTATTCAACAGTTACAATGACATTAATACCCTAACAAGTTTCTCTGAGTCCCCTCGCCACTTGCTCACAATGGACGAGGCTGATATGTTAAAAAACGTCGTCTTGCATTCTGTTGCCACAGCTTTGGCCAGCAGCGTCTTTCCGGTTCCTTACAAGGATGAAAATATAAATAAGTAAGTGCCTCTACTAAAAAATGTG